GATTTTATTTATTTTATTTATTTTTTTGAAATAGGATCTCACTCTGTCGCCCAGGCTTGGAGTGTAATAGCATGATCTCGGGTCACTGCAACCTCTGCCACCAGGGCTCAAGCGATCCTCGCACCTCAGCCTCCCAAATAGCTGGGACTACAGGTGTTCACCACCACACCCAGCTAGTTTTTGTTTTGTTTTTTTTTGTAGATACGGGGTTTCATCATGTTGCCCAGGCTGTTCTCAAACTCCTGGGCCCAAGCGATTTACCCACCTTGGCCTCCCAAAGTGCTGGGATTACAGGCAAAGCCACCATGCCCAGCCTCCTATATATTCTAATTATATACACTTCCCTGAAGATTAGGGGCCAGGCTGAGAGCATAGTCATATGCATTCATCTCGGAAAATTGAACTTCATAATAGTATCAGAGCCTGGAGAATATGGAACAGATTTTACTCTGGTGAAAACATAAAGCTTATAATTTTGCTTAGATCCAGATAAACATTTCCCCTTAAGATTTAAAATTCAAATTGTCTATGATATATATCAAATGATCTGTAGTCACTGTATGTGGCAAAGCTGTATGCATCTTGGAAGCACAGAATAATTGCATTGTTCTTAGAGTTTTAATTTTGTGTCTGAAAAATCTGTATTCTCCCCAGAGCAAGAATTGCTGGCATGAAATCTTTTGTTTTTCTTTTTTTTTTTTTTTTATTAGACTTCGTTTTATTTACGTTTATGCTGGGTAATTTTTAAATGGCTTATAACTGAATTACTTTCATTCTGTTACTCATAAATCTACTATCTACCCTTTTTTAATGAAAAAAAACTTGAACAAAGATCATCTATAAAACTATGTGCACAGTAAATCTCATATTTACACTTGTTTTGTATTTCAAGTGACAAATATACATAAATGTAATTTTTAATGGTCCTTTTTAGTTTATATGGCACATTACCTTTTAAACATAATGGCTAAGATGACAGTTGGAATGACCAGTGAATGCATTAAAAAAGGGGATAGTATAACATACAATTTTTTTTTTAGAAAAATTCATGACTGTATAACTCTATTGATTAGCAGTGTTTAAATTTTTCTCTCTGTGGTAGTGGAAGGTGTAATGTTTGAAATTGACATTTTTAAAAAGCCAAATAGCAATTCACTTTTAAAGTTCATCAGTTTTGTAGGTACTGTCTTGTTACATATCTAAATTTTTAAATACATTGTTTTATAGGAAAGATCAATTCATGTAAAATAGATAATAGCTTCGCTTTTATTCTAGATGCTTCTAGAATATGGCTAACATAGAGATTTTCCTTGTCCAAACGATGTCTTATTTGTTAACACAGAGAAAATATTTTATCTAAACATTTTTCTTCCAAAGGTTTTTATACATTAGAATTTTAAATAAAAATTTTTTTACTGGTAGATAATGTATAACACACTTAATGAAGATATGACTTGCACTGCCTTTCTTCTAGTATAGTTTTAATCTCCAGCACGTCCTAAGGAAGGTTGGTTAGCTGATTTAATGGGACTTTTAAAAAGTGAGTTTGCATTTCCATGATGACTAACAAGTTTAAAATAGATGCTTGAACTACTAAAATTTGTTTTAAATTCTTTGGATTCTTTCTATTTTATCTGTATAAAGATTACCATTCTAAATTATTTGAGAAGCCCAGGTAAAACTTATACTAATATTACCTAAATTTTTAATGTTCTGCAGTGAAAGTGCTAGATTTTTTTGGCGATTATTTTAATAAATTGATTTTTAAGTAATTTTTGTTGATCAAGGCATCATGACGAACAAGCATCTAAAACTAAGCGAGTTTAGTAATAGTAAAACAGTGACACTAACAAAAATTTGCACAGAAATCAATTTAACTCATCTGTTTCAAATTTTAATTTTTTACCGCACATTGCATTAGAACTCTTATGAAACCATGAAGCTTTCTCATTAGTTTCATCAAACATCAAGGCCACTTTTGCCTCTAAAGGGAAAGCTAAATAGATTAAAAGACTCAACTTATAGCCCAGCTTCCTTTTATAATAAGTTGCCCCTTCTCTCTCATATCTCAGAAAATTTTCAATAATAAAATACCATGTGTGAACAATTTCGAGTGACAGTGCTTTGTGGCACATAGCATTAAATGTGAGCAGCTTAGCCTCTACCACTGGTAAAGAAAAGTGTAGCTAAAATTGGCTGGAGACTTTTCACTGCTTCTGTCTACTTGGTGGGAAGAGGCAGGAGTCCTTGCAAGGAATTGAGATAATCTGAATTAAAGTGACACATCTTTTGCTTTTGTTTTTTAAATAGATCGGTTTGGGCTTGGCCAGCCAGGAAGAATACCTGGTTCTGTGAATGCCATGAGAGTTTTGAGCACAAGTACAGATCTTGAAGCTGCTGTTGCTGATGCTTTGGTAAGAGGCACAGTATGTATGTAAACAGAGTCTCTTTGAAATACTCATCTGCATTTCTCTCTGTCTTAACAGGAAATTGCCCCCAAATCAGGTTGCTAAATCATCTTTGACACTCTTTAAAATTGTGTAACTGTTGGGTAAATGTGTATTGTTGTTGTTTGCTTCTTAAACTTTTATGTCTGCCTATATAAGTGAAAATGGACTTTACAGAAAATATTAGAGTCAAGTATTTCTTATCTGTGCTCTTCAGTATCAAGGAGCTTTTGATGACATTGGGCTTCTCGGCTGTCACTGGCCTTCTTTTTTTTCTTTTTAACCACGTTGGTTTTTTTTTTTTTTTTTTTT